GAATTTATATTAAAAATTCCAGGAGGCCAAGCTGTTTCTGGCTCTTGGATACATCATGGAAAAATATTGTTCCTCTTTTCAGACCAAACTTTCTAGTTACTCAGGCAGATTATTAAGACATGGGACCTTTGTTGTATTACTTCAATCGTTTTTGCATTTCCCACTTTAAGACTCTGTAAAATGTTTCTCTCAATGTTCTCTCTGCATGTTTGGAGGAACAAGTAGGCTGAAAGTATTTCTGAGGTAAAGCCATTATAGCTGCTGCCTCCGTCCGACCCTGACATTTGCTTTCCAGGAGGTGTCCTCATTAATGGTTCCGTGAGAATTCTTTCTTTCTTTCTTTCTTTCTTTCTTTCTTTCTTTCTTTCTTCCTTTCTTCCTTTCTTCCTTTCTTTCTGTCTTCTTTCTTAAAACTTTCTACCTCCTTCCTTCTATTTCTTTCTTACTCCCCTTACTTCCCTTCCCCCACCCTCTCCAGTCCTAAGAGAAATCAGGGTTCCCTGCCTAGTAGGAAGTCCAAGGCCCTCCCCCATCCACCCAGGTCTAGTAATGTGTGCATCCAAACAGACTAGGTGCCCAAAAAGCTAGTACATGCAGTAGAATGAAAACCCAGTGCCTTTATGTTTATCTTCTCAGCCTTCATTGACAGCCATATTCAGTGTCTGGTGTGATCACATGCTTATTCAGTCCCAGTCCAGCTGGCCTTGGTGAGCTCCCATTAGATCTGTCACACCATCTCATTGGGTGGACGCACACCTCGTGGTCCTGACTTTCTTGCTCACGTTGTCCCTCCTTCTGTTCTTCATCTGAACCTGTTGTTGTCAGTCCAGTGTTGCAATGTAGGTCTCTGTCTCTATCCCCATCCATCGCTGGATCAAGGTTCTATGGTGATATGCAAGATATTCATCAGTGTGGCTATGGGAGAAGGCCAGTTCAGGCACCCTCTCCTCTGTTGCTCAAAGACCTACCCGGGGAAATCTCATTGGACACCTGGAAACCCTTCTTGATCCAAGTCTGTTGCCAACCCTAAAATGGCTCTCTTAATTAAGATATCTACGTCCCTGATCCCATATCCACCCTTCCTCCATCTCAACCATCTCATTTTCCCAAGCTCTCCCCAATCCTCCCCTTCTCCCATCTCTCTCCCCATCTCTCCTTCCCCTCAACCCACCCCCACCCCTGAGCTCCCAACTTTTGCCTGGGAATCTTGTCTAATTCCAATATCCAGGAGGATATCTAAATGTTTTTATTTTAGTTCACCTTCTTATTTAGCTTCTCTAGGATCATGAATAATAGGCTCAAAGGATTTTATTTATAGCTAGAATCCACTTATGAGTTAGTACATACCATATTCATCTTTTTGGGTCTGGGTTATCTCACTCAGCAAAGTGTTTTCCATTTCCATCCATTTGCATGCAAAATTCAAGATGCCATTTATTTTTACCGCTGAGTAAAACTCTAAAGTGTATATGAGTCCCACCTTCTTTATCCATTCTTCTATTGAGGGGCACCTAGGTTGTTTCCAGTTCTGGCTCAAACAAATAGTGCTACTATGAACATAGTTGAACAAATGCTTTTGTAGTATGATTGGGAATCTCTTGGGTATATTCCCAAGAGTGGAATTGCTGGGTCTTAAGGTAGGTTGACTCCCAGTTTTGTGAGAAACTGCCACACTGGTTTCCAAAGTGGTTGCACAAGTGTGCATTTCCACCAACAATTCATGGGTGTTCCCCTTACTCCACATCCTCTCCAGCATAGGCTATCATTGGTGTTTTTGATTTCAGCTATTCTGACTGGTATAAGATGGTATCTCATAGTTGTTTTGATTTGCATTTCCCTGATTGCTAAGGAGGTTGAGCATGACCTTAAGTGTCTTTTGGCCATTTGAACTTCTTCTGTTGAGAATTCTCTGTTCAGTTCAGTACCCCATTTTTTAATTGGGTTAATTAGAGTTTTAATGTCTAGTTTCTTGAGTTCTTTATATATTTTAGAAATCAGACCTTTGTCTGATGCTAGGTTGGTGAGGATCTTCTCCATTCAGTAGGTTGCCATTTTGTCTTAATGACAGTGTCCTTTGCTTTACAGAAGCTTCTCAGTTTCAGGAGGTCCCATTTATTCATTGTTGCTCTTATTGTCTGTGCTACTGGGTTTATAAATAGAAAGTTGTCTCCAGAGCCCATGTGTTGTAGACTACTTCCCACTTTCTCTTCTATCAGGTTCAGTGTGGTCAGATTAATATTGAGGTCTTTAATCCATTTAGACTTGAGTTTTGTGCATGGTGATAGATATGGTTCTATTTTCATTCTTCTACAGGTTGACATCCAGTTATGCCAGCACCATTTATTAAAGATACTTTCTTTCTTCCATTGTATAATTTTAGCTCCTTTGTCAAAAATCAGGTGTTCATAGGTTTGTGGATTAATATCTGGGTCTTTGATTCGATTCCATTGGTAAACATCTCTGTTTTTGTGCCAATACCAAGCAATTTTCATTACTGTAGCTCTGTAATAGAGTTTGAAGTAAGGGCTGGTAATGCCTCTAGAAGTACTTTTGTTGTATAGGATTCTTTTGGCTCTCCTGGGTTTTTTGTTTTTCCATATAAAGTTGATTAATGTTCTCTCAAGTTCTGTGAAATATTTTGTTGGCATTTTGATGGGGATTGCATTGAATCTATAGATTGATTTGGTTGAAATTGCCATTTTTACTATGTTGATCTTCCTAATCCAAGAGCATGGGAGATCCTTCCATTTTCTGGTATCCTCTTCAATTTCTTTCGTCTAAGACTTAAAGTTCTTGTCAAATAGATCTTTCATTTTCTTGGTTAATGTTACCCTTGGATACTTTGTGCCATTTGTGGCTATCGTGAAGGGAATTGTTTTCTGATTTTCTTTTCCCTTTCTATATCCTTTGTGTATAGGAGTGCTACTGACTTTTTTGAGTTGATCTTATATTCTGCCACACCACTGAAGGCATATATCAGCTGGAGGAGTTCTCTGGTAGAGTTTTTGGGATCACTTATGTATACTATCATATCATCTGCAAATAATGAAAGTTTGACTTTTCCCCTTTTAATTCCTTCCCCTAGATCTCCTTATGTTGTCTTATTGCTATTGCTAGAACTTTAAGCACTATGTTGAAGTTATTTCGAGAGAGTGGACAGCCTTCTCTTGGTCCTGGTTTTAGTGTAATCACTTTGAGATTCTCACGATTTAATTTGATGTTAGCTGTTGGCTTGCTGTATATTGCTTTTATTATATTTAGATGTGATCCTTGGATCCCTAAACTCTCCAAAACCTTTATCATAAAGGGGTGTGTTGGCTTTTGTCAAATGATTTTTCAGCAACCAATGAAATGATCATATTTTTTTTCTTTAAGTTTATTTATATGGTGAATTACATTGATAGATTTTCATATGTTGAACCTGCCTTACATCTCTGGTATGAAGTCTATTTAATCATAATGGATGATTTTGGGGGGGTGTTCTTGGATTTGGTTATCCAGCATTTTATTGAAAATTTTTGCAACAATGTTCATGAGTGAGATTGCTCTCTAATTCTTACTTTCTTGAGTCTTTGTGTGGTTTTGGTATCATAGCTTCATAAAAAAGAGTTTGGAAATAACTCTTCTGTTTCTATTATGTGGAACACTTTAAGGAGTATAGGTATTAGCTCTTCTTGAAAGTTCTGGTAGAATTCTGCACTAAAACCATGTGTTCCTTGGTTCTTATTTTTATTGGTTGGGAGGTTTCTGATGACAGATTCTATTTCCTCGCAACTTATAGGTTTATTTAAATTGTTCACCTGGTCTTGATTTAATTTTGGTATATGGTATTTATCTAAAAATAGTCCATATCTTTTACATATTTCAATTTTGTGGTATACAGGCTTTGGTTGTAAGATGTAATGATCTACTGAATTTCCTCATGGTCTGTTGTTATGTTCCCCTTCTCATTTCTGACCTTGATAATGTGAGTGTTCTCTCTGCCTTTTGATCAGTTTGGATAGGGGTTTGTCAATCTTGTTGATTTTCTCAAAGAACCAGCTCTTTGTTTTATTGATTCTTTGTATAATTTTCTGTGTTTCTATTTTATTTCAGCCCTCAGTTTGATTATTTCCAGTCTTCTTCTCCTCCTGGGTGAGTCTGATTCTTTGTTTCTAGAGCTTTCAGGTGTGGTGTTAAGTCACTAATGTGAGCTTTCTCCATTTTCTTTATGTGGGCCTTAGTGGTATGAACTTTCCCTTAGCACTGCTTTTATTGTGTCGCATAGGTTTGTGTATGTTGTGTCTTCATTTTCATTGGATTAAAAAATACTTTAACCCTTTATTTCTTCCTTGACCCAGGTGTGGTTCAGTAGTTGACTGTTCAGTTTCCATAAATTTGTCGGCCTTCTGTGGTGGAATTGTTGTTAAATTCTAACTTTACTCCATGGTGATCCTATAAGACACAGGTGGTTACTCAATTTTGTTGTATCTGTGGATGTTTGCTTTGTTACTGAGTATGTGATCTATTTTCAAGAAGGTTCCTGGAGATGCTGAGAAGGAAGTATATTCTTTCCTGTTTGGGTGGAATGTTCTATAGATGTCTGTTCAGTCCATTTGATTCATTACATCTGTTAGTTCTCTTATTTCTCTGTTAAGTTTCTGTCTGGTTGACCTATCCATTGGTGAGAGAGGAGTGTTGAAATATCCTACTATTAGTGTGTGGGGTTTGGTATGTGATTTGATTTCTAGTAATGTTTCTTTTACATATGGGGGCATAGATATTCAGGATTGAGACTTCATCTTGATAAATTTTTCCTGTTATGGGTATAAAATGTCCTTTTCCATCTCTTCTGATTGATTTTAGATTGAAATAATTTTTGTTAGATATTAGAATAGCTATACCTGCTTGTTTTTTAGGGCAGTTTGTTTGGAAAACCTTTTTCCAACCTTTTATTAGGAGTAGTTTCAGTCTTTGAGGTTGAGGTGTGTAATCAGCAGAATGTTGGATAATGTTTTTGTATCCATTCTCTTAACCTGTGTCTTTTTATAGGTGAATTGATTCCATTGGTATTGATAGTAATGATCAGTGGTTGTTAACTCCAGTTATTTTTCAGTTGTATTTTGTGTGTTTCCCTTCTTTGAGTTGTGTTGTTGAAGGGTTATCAGATGTTTGTGCTATTGTGGGTGTTGTTGGCTTCCGTGGGTTAAGGTTTTCCTTTTAGTACTTTCTGTAAGGCTGGGTTTGTAGATGGGTATTGTTCAAATCTGGTTTTTCCATGGAATATCTTGTTTTCTCCATTGGTGGTTAAAGTAAGCTTTGCTGGATATAGTATTCTGGGCTTGCATCCATGGTCTTTTAGTGTCTGCAGTAAATCTATCCAAGATCTTCTGGCTTTCATGGTTTCTGTTGAGAAGTCAGGTATAATTCTGATAGATTTACCTTTATATGTTACTTGACCTTTTTCCTTTTCACCTATTAATATTCTTTTTTTATTCTGTATGTTTTTTGTTTTGATTATTATATGGTGAGGGGATTTTTTAATCCAGTTTATTTGGTGTTCTGTAAGCTTCTTGTACCTTCATAGGAATATCGTTCTTTAGGGTGGGAAAGTTTCCTTCTATAATTTTGTCGAATGTATTTTCTGGGCCTTTGAGCTGGAATTCTTCTCCTTCTTCTATCCCTATTATTCTTATGTTTGGTCTTTTCATGGTGTCCCAGATTTCCTGGATGTTTGTGGTTAAGAATTTGTTGGATTTGCTGTTTTCTTTGATCAATGAGTCTATTTTCTCTATAGTATCCTCAGCACCTGAGATTCTTTCTTCTATCTCTTGTATTATGTTGGTTATATTTGTCTTTGTAGTTCTTGGTCATTTATACAGATTTTCCATATCCAGCCAGTTTGTATTTTCTTTATTACCTCCATTTTGATCTTTAAGTCTTGAACTGTTTCCTTTACCTGTTTGATTGCATTTTCTTGGGTATCTTTGAGGGATTTATTTTTTTTTCTAACTTTTTCTTTGTCTTTTATTCTGTTTCTTTAATGGAGTTTTTCTCATCCTGTTTAAGGGGCTCCATCATTTTCATAAGTTTATGTTAAATTTGATTTCTTCTACTTCTTCTGGGTTAGGATGTCCCACTCTTGCTGTTGTGTGTTCACTGGATTCTGGTGTTGCCATGTTGCTTTTCAGGATGTAGGGGGAATTTTGGCATTGGTACCTGCCCATCTATTCCTTCAAATGAGGCCAGTAGAATCTTGGCATCTTGGTCCAATCTTTGTTGTGGTTGACTGTGTACTTGGGAGTTTTTCTTTTTCTGCCCTCTCTCTTCAGTACTGGATCAGGCTCTCAGATCCCCTCCACGCTGAAACAGGCTGTACTGGGGAGCAGAGGACCTTGCAGATGAAAAGGCAGGCTTGGGGGCAGGGTGGAATGGGGTTAAAAAAAAGCCAGCAGCAGAGAACTCAAAGGGCTGCATGGCCAGAAAAGCTTATGGAATTGGAAGGGGCCTGGACTCAGTTTCTGGACAGGCCAGCAGGCCCTGTGGCCACTCACTTACCTCTCTGGATCCTCTAAGCATGGGAGCAGGACATTGCAGGCAAAAGGGCATGCTTAGGATGCTGGATGGGATAGTGCAAAGAAGCCCTAGCAGCAGGAACACTCCCTGATAGCTCCCCAACCCCTCCCTAACAATTAGTCTTTAACTACTTCAAGAAGATCCTTGGCTGCTTTGGTTTGCCTAAGATTCACATGTAAGACAACCTTGGCAACCATGAGAATACTTAATATCATGTATGCTAAATTTATTTGAAGAAAAAGTTAGAAAAACAACTAAGCTAAAAGTTTGCCAAAAGAGATGGAAACCTTCTAAATACCCAAAACAACAAAAATCCAAATTCCTGTTCTGAAGCTAGTGATAATGAAAACTCTTAATACCCACTGCACCCACTTCATCAACAAGCGTGTCAGAACTGGCATGCAAAGGGTGAATTTTTTTCTATTGATTTTTTTTAAATTGCTGCTCAGAAATTGTCTAACAAAATGCAATATTTCTACCAGAATTCCTCAGGGGCATTGATCCTTACTAGAACTCTGAGGGTTTCTATTACCAGGTATTATATTTTGACTCTTTGAGGAGGTCTTAACTCAAATTAGAGTGCAATTGATTACTCCAAGGTATGAATTTCATTATTACTATTATGGTTAATTTGCAGTGTTGGACATTGCAGGTCCTGTAACCATGGCTCAGGGAAAATCACAGAAGAGGAAGTGAAAAAATTTTAAGAGCTAGAGTGCCAGGAGGTCTTCCATAAAATGGTCACTTATATAATAGCCTACACATATAAGATAGGCACAATGACCTTATCAATGTGTGGTTTAATTGGAAGGGTAGAAATTTTGTGGGCTCCAATTCCCACACAAAGAACTACAGGAAAGTTATTATTTCTAGTATTTAGTGTGATTCCATTCCTAGACAAATTAGTACAGGTAATATATGATTTTTTTATTAGTTTCTCCCAGAGAAGAACACTATTATTGATTGTCCTTTGCAGAGTGGTTGGGCCTGAAACCATACACTCACTCTGTGTGTGTGTGTGTGTACATGCATATATGTGTGTATTAATGCATGTATGTATACATAAGTATGTACTAGTAGTAATCAAAGCAAACAGGGCTACCAAGTTGAGGGTAAAGATGGAGCATTTTAGGGATTTAAGAGATGCAACCTAGAAAAGGAGGAAAAGGAGGGCAAAAGTGATGCAATTCTTTTCCAATTAAAAATGCATTTAAGTTTGTGGGACAATTAGTAGCAGCACCAGAATTTACCCATAATGTATGACCTGGCTTTTTGAAGTACGTAACCTATTGAGGGATAATTTGTTCAGCCTAGATAAAGCTTAGAGGGCCTAGGTTCTATCTCAACTTAGTGTGCCAGATTTGTTGAGTCCCCATAAAAGGCCTTAACCTCTCTGAGGTGCAGATTGGTGGTGGTGTAGAGGGAAGGTAGGGGAACAGGAGGAGGGGAGGTTGGGAGAACAGAGAATGGTATGTAAAATAAAAAATGATTGTTTTAAAATAGAAACGTAAATTTAAAAGTTACATTTAAAAAGCACCAAAAATGTGAGATATCTATATCATAAATACACATAATAAAGTTATGTGAAAAAACTGTGTTGATAGTAAGAAGTTTATTAATACCAAAAGTATAAAATGGACTCTCAACAGATGCTATCATCATTAACTGGAATGATAAAACACCATTCATAATTCAATATTCTCTGATTCTTAATATTCATATTTATAAAAATAGCAATGTTTATAGTTACCAACTGAAAAAAGGCATGACTCAAAAACAAAGACTGTCATTCTAAAAAAATGTTGCTCCTTATTTTTCAAAAGCATAATCTGGTAAAAATGAACAAGTGTTAGCAGCAATAATAAAATTTATCAGTTTTAAAAACTGTGATGCATTTTCATAAAACTACTTCAAGTTATTTTTCTAAAATTTTATGAGCATATTGATTAAGCAGTTTTATTTAAAATACACACTCATGATAGGAAGTTTCAGTGCAACCTTTCCCCAGCACTTCAAAGGCAGAAACAGACAAGTTTTTGTGAGTCTCAGACCAGTCTGGACAACAGAGTGGGTTCCAGCATAAGTCAGGGCTACACAAGAAAACCCTGATTTGAAAAACTAAAAGAACAAACAAAAAATTGCACACTTAATTTTGTTGTGAAAAAGAAAGAAAATAACAGATGTTTTAAGATGCTAAAAGTAGTTTAAATAATTATGATGGTTTTATATAAATTATTATTACTCAAACTACCATATATGTGAATGTTTGCTTAAAACAATTCGAGATTATTTCACACTCTTTATGTTTTTAGTGAGTAAGTTTTTTTTTTCCTTGCTATGAACAATGAACCCAGGTCTTTTCAATTAGGTATCTCTAAAATGTTTTAAGCACTGCTAAACAATAACATCTTTTGCAAAGATGAAATTGTAGCCTTTATACTGTACAAACTTAACTTTCATATATACATAAATATGAATTTAATTATAATTATATCAATTTTTAATTGTTTTAGAATTCATTATTTACATGAGACTTATAACTACTACAACACACAGTGAACCTCATAGACCATAACATT